TTTCTGTAAAAACTTATTTTAGTTAACAATTAATCAACGATATAACCTCTTAAGATTTAGAGAAGTAAGCATTACATCAACTGGATTAGGTTAGTTTGGTTTAAAACTGTGAATATTACCTTAACCTATCCTGCTCAGGGTGGGATGAGCTGTAAGCCCAAGTTTTTTCCTCTGTATTTTTTGTTATAGTCAATTTTTCCAGTTTGTACTCCTTTACATTATTCTTTGTGCTTTTAGGTATATTTTAGTTAACATTAATCAATGATATAACCCCTTAAAACTTAAAGAAGTAAACCTAACATAAACTGGATTAAGTTAGTTTGGTTTGAAACTGTGAATATTACCCTAATCTTCCCTGCTCAGGGTGGGGTGAGTTCTAACTCCAAGTTTTTCCCCTGTATTTTTTGTTGTAGTTAATTTTTCCTGTTTATACTACGCTACATTATTCTTTGTGCTTTTCGGTAGTTAATCAATCAAAAAATAGTCGCAACCAGTAAACGAATTTTGAGATTTATTTGAAAATCACTAATAATGCGCTGATGGGGTAAAAATGTACCCACCTGACATGAGATGAAATATTTTTATCGGATATGACTCACATCTTGTCAAGTGTTTCAAACATTCCCTATTATTGTGGTTCTCACATATGATAACCAATTACCATATTGAATTATTTTTATATTTTTTGTATACGGTCGTTATAGTCCGGGTAGTATGGGCGCACTAGCTAGGAAAAATATTTTCATTTAATACTTTAGCACAACCTTACTTAACCCGGCATCCGACAGGTGAAATTTTGTAATGCTGTTCGACTCGAAAATATTTTCTTTGCCGTCTGATCTTTACCTGATTTGTTGGTTTGTTATGTGATCTCGAAGGTTCACTTCAGCTCTGCTGTATTAGTTTGTACAGGCAAGAGACATTGGTTATAAACCTTTCACTTTAGATACATGGGAATTGAGCTTTTTAGAATATAGCTTAATTTTCCAAATGCTTCTCATGTCAGGCCTATTCGCCTCTGTATTTTATGTGTTTGATGGTCTCTACTTATTTTGATCTCCTATCTCAAATATTTGTAGGTGTCTGTTTGTTGTGTGGTAATATTGTCAATAGTTATGTTTCCACTAATTACGAGATTTTTCAAAAGTTTAGTTTTCTTTTAAAGTTTATCTTTAATCCTGCTCTTTCAGACAGACTTTTAAGCGAATGTATCATAGAAACTGTATCCTAAGTATTGACTCTAGAGTTACCGTGAACATTTTTGGTGAAATATTATCTCCTTAAATGAAATCGTAGGCTTCCACGGCCAGAGTCAGAATTATAGTTTATTCGTCTTCCGGGTTTGGACCGTGTCATTTGTGAGTGACCCAAAAGTGGGTTTATCTCGACGTTTCGCTACAATTGTATGTAGCTTCTTCAGGAGAACAAAAAAGAAAAAAGAAGAAAACAAAGAACAGGAAGATGGGTAGTTAGCAACGGTAACTCAGTTACTCAACGCAACCAGAGGCGAATACTAACTACCAAGATGGGCATTTGGTCACAGTAACTCAACTACTCCTCCGGATTCACTCCCCGCCTCTCGACGCGTTAGTGTTCTGAGCTGTTGGACGTGAATCCCTGTCCTGGCATTTGGTTTTCACCTCTGGCTGCGTTGAGTAGTTGAGTTACTGTGACCAAATGCCCATCTTGGTAGTTAGTATTCGCCTCTGGTTGCGTTGAGTAACTGAGTTACCGTTGCTAACTACCCATCTTCCTGTTCTTTGTTTTCTTCTTTTTTCTTTTTTGTTCTCCTGAAGAAGCTACATACAATTGTAGCGAAACGTCGAGATGAACCCACTTTTGGGTCACTCACAAATGACACGGTCCAAACCCGGAAGACGAATAAACTATTATCTCCTTGTCTAACTCCTTAACCTAAGCTGAATATTTATGTCTTCGTGTAGTCGTATACTTCATGTAGCGTTCTCGTAGATGTTTTTGATTAGTGTCGTGTACCTGTAATCTATTCAGCTTTGATTTAGGGCTTTCAGTACTGTTTCAAATTCTACAGAATAAAAAGCCTTCTCGTAATCGACAAATTCAAGAACCAGTGGTATGTTGTACTCGATGCACTTTTCTATTAAGATATTTATGGTATGCAAATGGTCCTGCAAAAAAATCCTGCCCTGAAGCCTGCCTGTTCTTTCTTCTTCTTTCAGTCCCTCTCCGATTATCGAACGTTGGCGATCATATTGGCAATAATGCTTATTCACGGCGGCTCTAAATAAATTAAAGGTGGTTTCTTGATACCATTTGTTGAAATATTGTAACTTCCGAATTTTTATCGTTTTTGTTATTTCTGTGCTCTTTTTCATTCGATGTAAAACTATTTCATTTCTTGTTCTGAAGCTATTTTCTTGTGGCATTGTAAATTAATTCCTATTTAACTGGGAATAAGCCACAATTAAAGATAAAAATACGTTTATTGACGTTTCAATTTCCACTTCGGAAATCGTTCTCAAAATACAAACAGTAAATTAAACAAATTTTGTTTTTTATTACAGAGTGAAAAATTCTTCTAATAATTTAATTTTATCTGACTCATTTATATTGACAATTCAGACATACATTATGCATTTTAAAGTAGACGACTTTAAAATGATATTGCCAATATTGTTCAGTTGCGCTCCTGGGACGACTTTACTTATAAGATAGTTCATTCGATTACATGAAATCAACTTTAAATTGAGAATATCCGTCAGAAAAAAATCATAGCATGTATCACCTAATTCGTCTTTAAAAAGACAAACACATGACATGATGACAGTAAAATTCTCCTGTTAGTGATTCCATAGTAAATTATGAGGGAAAAACCAGGAAAAAAACCTCATAATACTATCCCGACATTGTAAGTATTTGTTCTTGAATTTAGTTTACCTTCAACAAACATCAAAATTCTGATTTTATATGTTACGTTATTTAAAAAACATAAATGATGTATCCTCTATATGTTACTTACTTACTAATACTGGTATTTTCTTATTAATAAGGGTGCGATATGGAGGGCGACAGAGAAAAAGGGGCGATTACTGGTGTTTTCTTATTATTAACTTCCTCTTTCAATATGGGTAACCAGATCCTACTACATTCTGCCGAGGAATTTGCGAAACACAATTGGTCTCATTTAGCATAATTAGAGCCGCTTCTTTGATTTTTCTTTTTTTACCATCCGTTTCTTTTAGGACTACATTTGAATTATTCCATTGAACCCTATGTTCATTATCCCATGCGTGTTTACATATTTGAGATCTATCAAATTCTCTATTTTTAATATAAGTTTGATGCTCACTTATTCTAACATTTAATGGCCTTGATGATTCACCTAAATAAAACTGATCGCATTCACAAGGTATTTTATAAATTCAATTCTTTGTCCTTTCTTGTTCATTGTTAGGTTTGGTTTTGGACAAAATAGATCTCAACTTGTTTGTTGTTTTGAATGTTATTGAAATGTTGAATTTATTTCCTATCCTTTTAAGTTTTTCTGATAATCCTTTTATGTACGGTATTGTTATTTTCCTCATATTATGCCTTGTGTATGCTGTAGGATCTCGTTCTAAGTTGTTCTGTTCTATTCGATCTATTGTTGAAAATTCCTTATTTATAAACCATAAAGGATAATCATTTTTTAATAAACAGATGTTAACAAATGTTTCTCTTACAAGAACGAATTTTCGTTAGAACAAGTAATTTTGGCTCTATCGTATAAAAAAAAAGGAATAATTAAATCCTTATACGAAAGATGAAATTGTTATTTTTTTAGGCTATTTAAATACAAAGCCACTGGTTTATATAATATTGTGTTTAATTTAGTATACATACACAGTGATAATAATTATGACTGAATTTACTTTAATTGAATAAAACTAAATAAATATATGTAGACTGTTGAATTTGGATTAAATTTGAGTCTATTACCATTCTCTAACACGTGTTTCTGGGTCTACCCGTCATCAGAGAGACTTGTAAGAAGACTTAAACCAAATTAAAACGCACTGTCTAATATGGCCATTTAGGAGCGATGCTAGGAATATTTATATGCCACTATGCATCAATAATTTACCCATATATATAACCATCATTCTTTTACTCATTTCGTCGAGTAGGGACGATATCAAAATAAATATGTGTAGACGGTTGCGTTTGGATTTACTCTAACACGTATTTCAGGTTTAATCCTTCATCGGAGAGACTTATAGGAAAAGTTTGAGTATTATTGTATTATCAAGATATCTATAGATTCTCTATACGTTAAAAAGAGCATTGGCCAATGCTATAGACTTAGATAAGTTATATGAGTGTCGGATTGCTATTAATACTAAGAAAATTCAGAATATTGTATCACTATCTGCATTTTTAAATAACCCTAAAAGCGTTTAAAATTTAAAAAAAACACACTATGTTCTCATCTATGTTCGGATTAATAAAATATTTACAGCAAAACGTGGGATTTCTTTTTTTCAGTAAAAAACAGCCAATGTCGAAAGTGTTTTTTATTATTTTTCCAATAAGTAAATACCCTTTTGGCACCTAGTATATTAAATAATATGTGTTTGTATATATTCATAAAAATTAGAAAAAAAATAACATTGGCTTGAATATTACCAGTTTAAGTTTTTATTCATTTCTGAATTTTTTTTGGCATTGGTTGTTTTTTAAATAAACCCTTAAATTATATTAAATGTGCACCTCGCCAAATTCTGGCGTTCACTATACTTGTCCTAGTCTAAGTTGCCAACGAAGTAATTTTTTATCTAATTTCTCTCTACTACTATTCGATACTTTAATATTAATTAAGATTTTGCATCACAAACTACTTTATTTTAGTTATAACAATGATTGGTAATTAAAATTCATGATTTATATATTATTGTGAGGGAGTATTGAACTTTATTTAAAATTGCTCAAAGAAAACCTAAAATCATTTTTCCTAAAATGCTAACATAATTTTTTTGTTTCAGGTACATTTAGCAGCAACCGCAGCCAGTGAGTGATTGTGAGATATTTAAAGAACTGTTGATATAGTCAATATATAAATAAATGTTTTTCAGTGCCAATTTACAGTAGATAATAAGTTTTATTGTACAAATAAATATAATTTAATGAAAAATTGTATGCTTAATTATTTCACTTTTATTTTTTCAGTCTAAATTGCAATATTTAAAATAAGTTTCCAAGTACTATAGCAAAGATATTTTCAATTTCAATATAAAATTTCATGAAAAAACGAGAAAGTAAAGAGATAGAAAAATTGAAATTGTCATGGTTTGGTTATTTAAAGAAAAATTAGAGTACAGGAGGATACAACAGATTAGAGCGAAATTAATTTGAAAAAATAATGTTTATAAAAATTGCAATACTCTTTCAAATTAATTGATATTTTGTAAAGATAATCGAAGTAATAGATAGATAGATAGATAGGTTTATTAACAATTTTTACATAGTAAACACTACATGTCATGTCACAATAAAATAATTTACTTTTGTATACTAAGAACTAAGAAATAATACAAGAACATATAATAAAACATATACAGTGAAAATTAGATATATAAAATTATAACAAATAAGAAAGAAACATTTCAGTAAGGCGTAATATAGTTTTCATTAAAAACGACCACACTAGGAGCTCAAACAAACAAATTCCTGTATACTATAAAAACAGTGTTGTAGCAGGAAGTGTTTTGCTAGTTTATAAAATTGTTTAGAATTCATTGCCTTAATATCAATATTTTTGTTTAAGTTTAAAAAACAATTATACAGATTATAATCTATTGTATTAAGTTGTGTAACACACAATCTGGAATATGGTATAATGATATGACTTTTATTTCTTGTATTGTAATGATGTTGATCAGCATGTGATTTTACATCTTTTATATTATTATGAATAGTTAACAAAGTTTCAAATATATATATATATATATATATATATATATATATATATATATATATATATATATATATATATTGAAGGTAAAGGAGGAATGCCATACTTCTTAAATAAGGGTTTACAGCTGGCGCGATATTCTGCCGAGTCAATAATTCGGATTGCTGCTTTTTGAAAAGTGAAAACTTTATATGCATAGGACGAGTTTCCCCAAAGAAGTATGCAATATGTCAGGATACTATAAACCATTCCAAAATAAACTGACCTGACTGAAGAATATCTCGACTTACAAAAGTAGCCAATCTGCGCATAGCAAAAATCTGTGAGGCGAGCCCCCTACACAATCGTTCAATATGGTGCGACCAGTTCAACCTTGTATCCATAGTAACACCTAGTAACTTTACTGGTTCAGATGGTGTAACCCATCTATCAGAACTAAATACGATTGTCTGGGTTTTCTGCTCGTTTAACTTAAGTTTGTTACAGTTAAACCAGGATTTAGATTTTTCTAATATATCCTGACTGTAATCAGTTTTACCTCTACATAATAAGGTTGTGTCATCTGCAAAAAGAACACAGTTGGTGTTATCCAATGCACTTGGTAAATCATTTATATATATCAAGAATAGTAGAGGACCCAAAACTGATCCTTGTGGTACTCCGGTTGAAACTGGTAAAGGATCAGATTCTTGATTATTAAATGCAACAATCTGTGTTCTTCCTGTAAGATAGGATTTTAAAAGGTCATGTATGGTGCCCCTTATTCCATAGTACTCCAATTTTATCAATACTGTTTGAATATCTACACAATCAAAAGCTTTTGTAAGGTCACACATTAAGCCATTAGTAGGTTCACCTGCATCAAAACCGTGAACAATATGTTCTATTACTTCTAATAAAGCTTTAGTTGTTGAGTATTTTTTTCTTAAACCAGATTGAGAGCTAGATATAATTGACTTGTTATCCAAATAATTTGATATACGATCTTTAATTAAGATTTCAAAAATTTTGCTTATTGTTGGTACTATGGTAATAGGTCTGTAATTGTCAGGAGCATTTTTATTTCCTTTTTTATGAAGTGGAATTACTTTTGATATTTTGAATACATCAGGCCAGTAACCCTCGTTAATGCATTTGTTAAATATTATTGTGAGTGGTTCAATAATTGTATCAAGCGATTCCTTAATAATTTTACTGTTAAAACCATAGTAGTCAACACATGAGGAATTTTTTAATTTGTATATGCATTCTTTCACATCAGATGCTACTATTGGAGACATAAAGAACGAACTTGACCTTCTAGGTAGCCTGCTAAGATAGTAGTTTATGTCATGCTTAGAGTCTCCTATTAATTTCGATATAATATCTGCTATATTCGTAAAGTATTGGTTAATTCCTTCTGGTGTTAAGTTCAGATTAGACGTAGTATGTTCCGTATAGGTTTCTTTTTTAACAGTACTCCATATTGTCTTACTTTTGTTGGTGGATTTGTTAATTATGTTAGCATAAGCAGTACGTTTTTCAGCTTTTATTGCTTGCTTATATTTTTTTCGTATTTGACAATATTTAATCCAATTGTCAATAGTATGTGTTTTTCTATAAGTTGCTTTACAATCGTAGAGTTGTTTTCTTAAATCTCGAAGTTTCTGATTAAACCAATGAATAGCACTTTTTCTGCTATTCATGTTTTTTAAAGGAAAACAAATGTTGTATTCTTCACACATATATTTCATAAACAACTCTGTCATGTTGTTTGAATTACATTGGATATCGTCAAACACAGTCCAATCTTTGGATTTAATTTTTTCCACAAAATTCTTAATATTTTTTTCATTAATTAATCTTTTTTTAGTCTTTTCTATAATTGTAGACACATTTTTTAAACCACTCACAATAGCAAATATACCCAAATGATCAGATATTACAGGATCGTAGACACCTGTATTTAAATTTTGTTCATTAATATTACTAAATATATTATCAAGGCAAGAACTTGAAGTAAGTGACACTCTTGTGGGCGCTTTTATGAAATGTTTTAAACCGTACATGGTTAAGAAATTCCATATTTCACAAACATGACCTGTGTTTACTTCCATATTTATGTTAATGTCACCAAGTATCAATATATTTTCATATTTTTTAAAGGCGAAATCAATTAAAGCGTATAACTTAGCTTTGAAAACAGTAATATCCCCATTACAGGATCGATAAAGTGCAATTATCAGAAAACGATTATTTTTAATTTCAACACCACAGAATTCAGCATTCAATGGATCACAAAATTTGTTTAAATCAACAGGCTCAAGTTGAATATGTTTAGAACCATAGATAGCTACACCTCCATGTAGTATGCTTTCTCTACAACATGAAGTGACAAGTTGAAAATTGTCCAAGTTTATTCTTTGTAAATTATCAGAATTTAATCAGTGTTCCGAAACACAAAAAATGTCATACTTATTATCTTTAAAAAATGCATTTAATTCATCTACCTTATTAGTGATACTTTGTACATTTAAGTGAAACACAGAGCACGTTTCTACAGTAATACTGTAGTTATTATAGTTATTGTTTATCCATGAAGGAACGAAAAAATTCATTAATATATATACCCTCAGGCCATAGTTCACAATTTAAAAGTCTTTGAGATGATGCCTCAGGAACTGCAATTTTAAATGAAGCATAACTTCTTGGATATCTCGAGTTTAATTGGTTAACCTCAATATTTTCATCAATAGTCTTCAGATGATTTGTTAGTTCTTCCAAAGATGTATCAGGAGACCAGTTGGTTGTATGATAGTACTTCATCGTTTTCTTTACAGCCGCCTTCAGCCCATTTGTTTTGGAGTTATTAGTGCCTATTAAAACATTTTTTTGGTTTTCTAAATGTTTTTGGTTTATTTGTACTGTTGTTATTTTCAGGACCAAGAATATGTTTGTCACTCAGTTTAATTATATTTGAGCATAAATTTGCAGCTTGTGCTTCGTGAACTGCTGCTGCTACATTGGAAAGTGATATTTCAGGTTGTTTATTTGTTACTTCTTTATAACTTTTTTTGTCTGTTTTGTAGATGCTTTGGGGTCTAGAGTGTTTTTCTCAGTTTGTTTTCGACTATTTATTTTTTGGTTTAATAGTGATATTTGAGCTTGTAAGGCTTTAATTGCAATTTCTTGGTTGAAGATAATCTTGTCTTTTTGCTCGATCAGATCTTTCATATAAGTAATATGTAGAGCGTTTATGGCGTTTTCTTGACTATTTTTGGCAGATATATAAAGGCAGATATATATATATATATATATATATATATATATATATATATATATATATACATATATATAGATATATTTTGGCAGAAATATAAAAACAAATAAATAAATGTTAAGTTCGACGTGTTTAAAATCGAGCTCCGTAAATTAGATTAAAAAACCAGCCCAATTTTAAAAATAATTTTATTAATTTAGTGATCCAGTAGTGTAATATTAAACATTTGATGGTACACAAGGCAAATATCGAACACAGTAGTTAATCAAATCTTGCCTAAGTACTTTCGATCACAAGATCATCCTCAGGGGCATTTCGTTAGTTGTGGCCTATCCAGCAGTAATAGAATGTTATAAATGTAAATTGGGACATAACAAATACACTAAACAAAGACAAACAAACACTTTAAAATTTAAGAAATGGAGAAGCTACATTTTATATAGAAGCCGGAGACAGAATGGCTCCCAGCCTGACAACTGACGAAATGCCCCTGAGGATGATCTTGTGATCGAAAGTACTTGGGCAAGATTTGATTAACTACTGTGTTCGACATTTGCCTTGTGTACCATCAAAGTTCATTTATTCGAACATTCAACCTTATATTGGTAATATTAAACAATAAATATCACAGAGACTGTAAGTTATTTTAATCATAACAGTCATGACAGTTTTTATTAATATTGAATATATAAGCAGATAACCTACAAGAACAGCTCATCCTACTACAGAATCTCCACTCTCAGATGCCACCACATACACATACACACACGTAGTGATCAACCCTGCTCCTAAGGAACATGTGTATACCATTGTAAAAGTGGTATCCACATGTCCGAAGATAAAACCGGTCACACTTCGCTATTGAAGTGGCACCGATCTGACCCCCAGGCTGTTTCTCCAACCCTCC